CAAGGTCAGGGAGGACGAGGAGCAGGTCCTGTTGGTGGCACCCTATTGGCCTACCTGGACCTGGTTCCCGGAACTAATGCTCCTCGCGGCACCCCCTCCTTGGCCGATTCCTCTGAGGAAGGATCCCCTTCAGGGAACGAGGGTTACCATACGTAACCGAGACGTTCTCTCATCATCATGTTTTTAGGGGAACAATGCCTTTAACATTCATTACAAACACAATGGTCAAAGTGTTTCAGAAACAGCAAAATGTGTTTCCAATGTAGCTTATAGCCACATTTTCTCGTCTTAAGATTTTTGCACATCTTGGCGTTTCCACCCAGCGTTTTTTAATGCAATATCCCAAATTTTGCATATGTTTCCAAAGATGCATGGATGGAAACAGCTTGCTGCAAAAACGTGTTTCCATCATATTTTGATTGATGTGCATGCACAAAAATTATCTGCCTCAAATGAGCACTTAATTTTATTTTTATGCAAAGGTAAAGATTTTATGCACATCTTTGCATTTCCATACGGCATTTTTTTTTAATGCAATATCCCAAAGTTCACATGAAAATGCATGCATGGAAACAATTAATTACTGGAGTGGATGTTAGTTCGTTATTTAAAAGTATACTTATTTGAAATTATTTAAATGAATGGTTATAAAAAATGATTTGAGTAATTTAAACAATCGACCGACTGTCAGCTCACCTTTCCCAGAAAGTCGTTCTTGCCCACCATGTCCCAGTCCCAGACCTCCACCATCACGCTTCCACCCTCATCATGATCACCTTCATCCAAACTCAACTCCAGAGTCTCATCCCAGTGCGGGAACCGCGTCTTCTTTATGATCTGACCAAACAGCCTGATATTATGACACTTGCAGATGAACACGGTTATGAGGCATCGATTTTAAGACTGATAAAGGGATCATGCAACTTTATTTTGTTTAAATACTGAGTGTTTTTATTTTTTACGGTGAACTATTACAATAGTAATATTTCTTATATTGTTTAATATTTTTATTTAGAAATACAAACAACAACAACAATATTTATTTATTTATTTTTAAGTAATACTGATATGTAATCACAAAGCCCTTCAAATAAGCACAACAAAAGATATTAAGTCATACTACAGAAAACTACAGTTCAGTTCAATTAACAACAACAGAAACTTTAAAATGGTCCAAGAACTGGTAACTTAAACAGGGTTCGTACAGATACTGTAAAATAAAATTCCAGGACTTTCAAGGACTTGCACTACTTTTTTGGTTTTCAAGGACTAAAATCAGATCTCACTTATCAATCAATGTTGTTATTATCTTTCAAATTCTAATAAATAAACTAATAAAACAAAATGGTACACATAAAGTGCAGCACATGCAAAGAATGCAATGGCTGTGGCAAATCTAACATTTGAAAGGATACTATGGCAAAGTTATCGCTTTCCTTATTCAAACTGATTTTTTTCATGAATATATGATTGACCTGAAGAATGAAAGCTATATCATACATTTGGAAAATTATGAGCTTTATCATGCTCTTAGACACTAGGGGTGTGACAATACACTTAGCTCACAAGGTGAGACAAAGTGCAGATACTTGGCTCACTAGAGTGAGACAATGTTTTAATACTTTAAGAAATTTTCAAATGACAAAATATTTGTCTTTTAATCACAAAAAGTAAAACAATGCACTTGTATAACTAATCTAGTGCTTAACTAATGATTATTTTGCTAATCAAGTAATCTGATTATTTTGACAAGCGAGTAATCTGATATTTTTTAGTAATACAAATAGAACTAAGTGGAAAAACAGGCTTTAATATGACTATATTTATATGTAAAGTAACGATGAGGCAATAATAATTGGCCTCAAATAAAGTATCAAAACCAAGTACATGGTTTTATTGAACAACATTGTTGAATACATAATGTAATATGCCTATATTATAACAAATATCTGCAGAGGGCGCCAACGGCCTGGTGATGTTTCATGTATTTCAACGACATTTAAATCCATTTAATTTTAATATTTGGCCAGATGCAAAATCGGAAACTTTAATTTTGAAATCGCGATGTACAATACATTTAGAAATATGTTGATGTATTCTCCTGTGTTGGCATAGGTTTAAATGATTTACGTTACAAATCAAGTGAGTTTTCCCAGATGAACGTTAAGCAACACTCACCGCATATGCAGAGGAAGAGTTTAGCCCCTTTCACACATACAGTCTTTACTGGTAAATTACCGTTAAGAGATCATGTGTGAACAGGACCTTTTCAAAAATCCCGGTAAATTTGTTCTGGCAATCATATCGTTCTTATGGAGATGACGTGATTACTCTGAGCTGTTTACAAAGCTCCGCTGCTTTTTTAATAGCTTTTCTATGTAAATATGATGCTAGATGGAAATCTTTGACCATTGCGCCTCGCAGCTTTTTCAATGTGTCGCGCTCCAGACACAGGCTTCTTTTCCATTTATCAGCTGCAACTCTGCAATTGGATACTATTATGCACGTCTCGTGTTTATAGGAGCAAAAACTTCTGATTGGCTAGTAATGTTAGTTTGGTTGAGAGTGAAAGCTGTGTTCCTCTCATACATTGGTAAGCGAACTCATGAACTCGAACGTGATATAAACAAGTGTTTTTAAATGTAGGACGACTATCTTTTTTTCTCCCGCAGCCAAACGCCGCACGCCGGAGATCCGGCACGGTGCCGGGGAACTTTAAGCTTTGACTATTGCTATTATAATATTTCACTGTAAAACAAATTGAGTATTCAAGAAAAATATAATAATAATAACTTTACAGTACAACTGTAAAATTACAATATTAATATAATTATTATTATTATTATTTTTTAGTCATATTGATATATAATCACACACTTGTTGGGCCAAATTGTACAGCCCAATAAACAAGCACAACAAAAGATATTAAGTAATAAATATTAGTATTGTAATTTTACAGTTGTACTGTAAAATAAAATTATTATTATTATTATTAAATTTTTCTTAAATGCTCATTTTTTATTTTTCAGTTAAATATTACAATATTTATTTATTATTTTGTAATAATAATCATAATAAAATAATGAAGATGATTATGTTTATTGTTATGATTATTGTAAAACAGGCTTTAATATGACTATATTTATATATAAAGTAACGATGAGGCAATAATAATTGGCCTCAAATAAAGTATCAAAACCAAGTACATGGTTTTATTGAACAACATTGTTGAATACATAATGTAATATGCCTATATTATAACAAATATCTGCAGAGGGCGCCAACGGCCTGGTGATGTTTCATGTATTTCAACGACATTTAAATCCATTTAATTTTAATATTTGGCCAGATGCAAAATCGGAAACTTTAATTTTGAAATCGCGATGTACAATACATTTAGAAATATGTTGATGTATTCTCCTGTGTTGGCATAGGTTTAAATGATTTACGTTACAAATCAAGTGAGTTTTCCCAGATGAATGTTAAGCAACACTCACCGCAGATGCAGAGGAAGAGCTTAGCCCCTTTCACACATACAGTCTTTACTGGTAAATTACCGTTAAGAGATCATGTGTGAACAGGACCTTTTCAAAAATCCCGGTAAATTTGTTCTGGCAATCATATCGTTCTTATGGAGATGACGTGATTACTCTGAGCTGTTTACAAAGCTCCGCTGCTTTTTTAATAGCTTTTCTATGTAAATATGATGCTAGATGGAAATCTTTGACCATTGCGCCTCGCAGCTTTTTCAATGTGTCGCGCTCCAGACCCAGGCTTCTTTTCCATTCATCAGCTGCAACTCTGCAATTGGATACTATTATGCACGTCTCGTGTTTATAGGAGCAAAAACTTCTGATTGGCTAGTAATGTTAGTTTGGTTGAGAGTGAAAGCTGTGTTCCTCTCATACATTGGTAAGCGAACTCATGAACTCGAACGTGATATAAACAAGTGTTTTTAAATGTAGGACGACTATCTTTTTTTCTCCCGCAGCCAAACGCCGCACGCCGGAGATCCGGCACGGTGCCGGGGAACTTTAAGCTTTGACTATTGCTATTATAATATTTCACTGTAAAACAAATTGAGTATTCAAGAAAAATATAATAATAATAACTTTACAGTACAACTGTAAAATTACAATATTAATATAATTATTATTATTATTATTTTTTAGTCATATTGATATATAATCACACACTTGTTGGGCCAAATTGTACAGCCCAATAAACAAGCACAACAAAAGATATTAAGTAATAAATATTAGTATTGTAATTTTACAGTTGTACTGTAAAATAAAATTATTATTATTATTATTAAATTTTTCTTAAATGCTCATTTTTTATTTTTCAGTTAAATATTACAATATTTATTTATTATTTTGTAATAATAATCATAATAAAATAATGAAGATGATTATGTTTATTGTTATGATTATTGTGATGACAGTTATTATTATTATTATTTTATAGTCATATTGATATATAATGACAAAAGCAGCCCTACAAGTGCAGCAAACAAGGAGCATTAAGCACATTTTTATCCGAAAAATCACAAGATTTTGGATTTTTTTTTTCTCCAAATCATGGGTCTCCAATATAAGGAGAAGGAGGGAAGTAAAAACTGCACACAAACGGTTCTGGCATGTATTGTGAATGTTTTGAACATGCAAAAAACATGAGTTTCAGTGGAGGAAAAGCTTTTCATTGAATAGTGACATAGATTTGGGTCTGTTCCTCATATAAAGAGATCACATGACGTCAAAAGGCTTTGAATATAATGCACAAGTTGTATGAACCACATCATGGTGCTTTAATGATGTTTTTGTCTGTTTTGTAGCTTGAGAAACCCTGGTAACTGTATGGAACTGAAGATAGACGATCTCACCGATGTCTCAGCGCTCAGGTTGTTGTAGATGATTCTGGTGAACGGATCAGAGGTACCGGAAATATCACGCGGAGCCAAATCACTGTAACGACAAAAACACACAGCGCTCAACGATTCAGACAGACAGACAGAGTTGGGTAGATTACTTACAAATTGTAATCCGTAACTGATTCCAAATTACATGACAAAAATTGTAGTTAGTAACGTAATCTATTACATTACACATTTTATGTAATATAATCAGACTACTTTTGGATTACTTTTAGATTACTTTTGACCTAACTCGTTTATCACATTGATTTAAATATGATAATTTTGTACCATATTGATATAAAAATACAGAGAGAAAGAAAATATATTCCATTCGTTGTTATTAACAACATGAAGTGCATTAAACATTAGAAGTCGACCGATGTATCGGTTTTGCCGATTAATCGGCACGATAGTTGATTGCTGGAACTATCGGCATGGATTGCCGATGGAGTTTTTCCAGGTTGCGTCCGTTGCTGGAGCAGCTGAGAAGCTCCGCTGTCATTATACAGTACGAGAGCGAGAGAAGGCCTCTAGAGGTGGAAATCACTGACAGCATGTGCTGTTTGTTTTGACACGTGACACTGCGCGCTGCACAGAGCGGACACTTCAGATGTGCGGATTTAAAACAGACAAGGAAACGGTGTGTACACATTATACTGTAGTGCATGTTATCATATTATTACTAAGTAATTAATTTGTTGACTGTATGCTGCATTAGTGGAGAAAGAACAGCAGTACGTTTTCTCTCAAGGCTGAGAGGACGCGAACATTAGCAGCACCTCAAGCCGTTAAAACAATGTGACAAAACACACGCAAGTCTGACGCAAATGCGTAATGTCATGATTGTTAAACATCCATTTGCGTTAGTTTATATCCAGCTGGCAAATGCATTTGTTATCCAGCGAAGTTGCAGATTTAAAGCTGTGACGTGAGAAAGATACTGATATGTTGATTCAGCCACAGAAATCCTGCCGCACCACAGAGTGCCATTCACACAGTTTTACATTAAATTACATATTTGTCCCAAATCGTTGTTAATGTACATAATGACTTTAAAATTGTGTATTGTGTATTTTTTCAGTGAAACATTGAAACGTCTTTCTGTGGCTCTATGCTTCATATAGAGAGCTATAATATAGATCACGTTTTTTCTTTCCGTTTTGCTCTGTTTTTTTAAACACTGAACTTAAAACTCATGTATGCCGCTTTTTGATCATTCTTGAAGTGAACTTTTGCCCGGCTGGTGATTAAACAAATTGTTTAAGGCCGCTGCTTGAACTGAACGCGACGCGTGTGTGATCCCTGATATCTGCGAGTTCTAGACGCAGTGCTGCGCTTTTTGCCCAGTGTGCCACTGCCATATTTTGTTATTTTGATTATATAATCATCACGTGTTCTAGAATAGAATCAATTAAAGTGTGAGAGTATACATACAATATCCATATGTATGTCATTTCAATGCTATGGCCTTTGTGTAGATATTTAAAGATGGCCATCTT